TACAGGCTGCATGTGAAACGTTCTGTATTGGAGAAGATGTGAATACTGCTGAAGCTGATGCATCTTTAGACACAATATCCAGCGGTTGGTCCCCTGAGAAGTATCGGTTCACACAAGATGAAAGTCAACTCAAGGATGCTTGTTCAAGTAAGGAATGATGATAATCGATAACATATGATTTATTTCAATGGACCTTTGTGCATTCAGTGCACTAAATGTTTGCACTTTGTTCACAGATCTTTCGGTATCACACAACAAGTCTATCGTCCCAGCCAAGGTTATCTCAGTAAAAAATCTTCAGTCATCTGATTCGAGGTGAGATTCTGACATTGACCACACAGTCAAAGGATGAGAAAAATAAGATTTCTAGTTTGATGACGTTTTATATGATATAATGATAATCTATGTTGACATGTCAAATTTCAGTCGTGCAACTCTATTAGTCCGCCTCGACACCAGCGACAATGAGGACTTCGCATACAAACCTGGCGATCATTTGTCGATCTTTGCGGCAAATAGAAAGGARTTGGTTCAGTCTTTATTGGACAATCTCAGTGAATCACCTGATCCTGATCARCCAATCATCGTCGAGGCCAGCCGAGAATTGTCAGGTAGGACGTCATATTCTTAAAATAATCGAATATACCTCAGTATTAGTGGTTGACAAACTAAGAACTTTATTTCTAAGATTCCAGGGTAAAAACTTTTATGGCAATTCATAAAACGACTACGATTTACTGGGGAAAATAAATTATTACGTTTTAATTCAGTTTTGAAATAAAATTTGATCTGGGCAATTTATAACACCACAACATTTATAGAATTCAAGATGACTTCGCTGCATTGTTGATGATGTATAATTAATGATGTGTATATCGTCCCTGAACTAGTATACAGCTATTTCAATAAAAGTTGTCGGGGAGAACGGCGAACGGCGATTGTCGAGGGGAGATTGCACGGCCGAAAGGGACTACGTTACACTTTTTTGACAAACAAAATTTCACTTATTGGATTCACCTTGCAAAGAAATTGAGACTAAATGGATCCAATGTTTACCACAAAAAACCATCTTACAGCATAAATCAGTTCTTATTAATGCCTTTGATCATCTACCAAAACTCATGACTACTTTCGGTCGTGCAATCGGCGTTCGACCACTAACATTCGCCATTTTATCCGACAACCTTTTTTGAAATAGCTATATGCACCAAACGATAAGATAAAGCGTCCATTGCTTTTAATCAACTGCAGGTCCCTTTGGAATGACTAAGAAATGGGAGAAACTTCAACGATTCCCAGTTCCTATAACACTAAGAGAGGCATTTAGTCGCCATATTGATATCACTGGTACACCCTCTCCACAGATCCTCAACTACCTTGCGACACAGGTAACCCAACCTACTTTATCGTGGAATGCTGAATGGCAT